CCGCCTACATATTCGACATTGAGCATTTAATGCACTTCTACTCCATGCAACACTATTTTCTAAAGTACTTAAATGTACAAATAATTGAGCCCAACTTGTTGATGCAATAAGCGATTGTTCCCATCTTTCTTTAATTTCTTCACCAGACCATTTCTTATCTTTTTCATTAGCACCTAACGGTTTCTGTAAGTACTTTTGCTCAATAGCATGAGATAATTGTAAAATAGCACAAGCCATTTGTTTAATGGCTAACTGTTGTTTAGGATCTGGGAGTATTTCATTTTCACTTGGTGAACCTAAATATTTTCCTGAATCTTTATAAGTTTTTATATTAATACTTCCAACTTCTGAATCTGGAGTTCCTGGTCTACTATATTTAGTTTCATTTTTAATTCTATCTAATCCACTATCTGCTTCAATTTCATTCATACCATATACTAATTTATCGCATTGTTTATCATATTTCCCGTCATTTATTGCATGCCTCCATATTTCACGATCATTAACTTTTAAATTTCCTAAGCCCCCTCCTTTTATTCTATCTTCGAAATCTAGAATATAATCTCTTAATGTCAATTCTAAAACATTATCAACTGCCATTTCTGAAGGGAAGTTTAAGTTCGCATTTTCATACCTATTCTTTTTTGAAATTTTATTAGAATGTCCTTTAATAGGTTCTGTAAACTATATGAGAAAAATATGTATATTTTTAAAATTCATGTAATCATAAGTCTTACAAAATTTTAAAAATACTATAAAATACTTACAATTTCAGGATTAAGTTTATGTCTAGGACATTCTTCAATCACAGATATTAAACTTGTCATCTCTTGTATAATATTATTTCTAAGTTCGCCTTCTCTAATTCCTCGTTTACTTAAAGAATTTACTAAAGCTTCTATATCTTCTTGTTTTCCAAAAAAACTCCATTTCAATTCTGATCTCTTCCAATGCACTGGACATTCTTTATCTCCTGTACACGCCATTAAATTTTTTCTAATATCAAACAATTCTTGTTTAAATTCTTTTCGAGATATATCTTTTCTTGGAGATTTAAGTGAATTTTTGTCAGAAAATGATACTTTTTTAGGAGATTTTTTTTGCTTTTTTAAAACTATTTTCTTTATCGCTAAATTCATCTTCAAATTTATTTTTTAAATATGCATATGTAGATTCTCCATCTTGTAATTCTGGTTGATAAGGTGTACCATCAGAAATACAATTACCCGGCCACCATTCATCATTTTCTACAAATATTCCTGTAAGAATAAAAAAGAAAAAATTAACTTTATTATATTTTTTTATTATAAGCTTCAAGTTTTTCTTATTAAGCTTGAATATAAAAAAATAATGTTACCTGGTATTGATAAAAATCTCCAATATCTACGATAAGCTCTATCAGAACCTAAATAAACCATCATTTTATTATCTCTAGATGCTTGTTGAAGTTCTTTTAATTTATTTTCATACTCTTCTTTCTTTCTTTCCTCTTCACAATTACCACGTGTGACTTTCTTTGGTATTTTACTTTCATTATCTTTTTCTCGTTCTCTCATTTTTTCTTTTTCTTCTTTTTCTTTTCTTTGTTCAGCTATTAAAAAAGATTTCAATTCTTTTTTTGCTTGATGAAGTTTTTCATGTTTTTCTTCTATTATATCTCGTATTGAAGCAAAAGTGAGCAACTGATTTATTAAACATGTAGCTATTTTTAACTTTTCATTGAGTTCAAATTCATGTATACTACGATGACCCAATAATCTTAAAATATATGCCTCATTTATTCTCATCAATAATGCAGGATCATCTTGATTAGTATAACCACCTGACAAAATTAAAAATGAATGTATTTAATTTTTTCATTTAATAAAATTATATACATATACCTCTTTGAGAATATCTCCATTTAGTAGCAACGTCACCAATTCGTCCTCCAGATGATAATAAATGTTGTCTTAAAATCTCACTTAAAGTTACATGATCTAATGTCAATTCAGATAATTTACAACCTTGATACATCTGACACCAACTAGAAGCTATAGTAGAAAGTTTTACTGCTTTTGTCATTGATGACACTCCTTCATTCATATTAACATCATTTACTACATCTGCTTGAGCATGAATTTCATTTTCTTCATCTGATTGATATTTAAAAATGTTTGCTAATAATAATTGTAAAAGATCACTCCAAGGTCCAGATGTTTCTCTTAATAATAATGCTTTTTCTAATAGATCAAAAGTAAAACCATTTGGAAAATATGCACCAACTTCTAGTTCTTCATTAAAAAATTCTAAAAATTCTAGAATCATTACGCTGTCACCGAATTTTTCATTAGGTATACTATTCTTAACTGGTGTAGCTTGTGGAATAGGAGAAAGATCTTCACATTCAAGATCTTCTCTTGGTTTATTCCATTGTCTTATATATGCAGTCAAAGCTGCTAATTTTTGCTTCTCTTCTTTTTTACGTTCATTTTTCAAGACTCTTTCTTCTTTACGTTTTGCTTTTTCTTCCAGAGCCTTTGCTTTAAGATCTTCTTTAAATTTTCCATTCATTCTGTTTATAAATGTAACAAATTTAATATATAATTATAAATTACAAACTATTTTTAATTTGTCATACATTATTCTACCTTGGTTTTCGAAATTTTTTTATATCTACTCCTCCTTGATTTACTTTTTTGAAAGGATCTGGTTTATCTACTGTTTTTTGTTTTGTTACATCCATAGCAAGAAATTTATCTATTGATTCTTGTTTATGTTTAATAAGTTTCTTAATACGTGATGTAAAATCTGGAGGAGGACCAGCAAATATGGTATCAAATCGTACTTTATTAATTCCATATTTTTGTAAAACACTATCCTATAAATATACAAAATATTTTTTTCATCAATACATTTAAACTATTTTTTAAGTTATACTTATTAGTATACTAACTTTGATAGTCCATATTCCAATTTCATTTTGTTCACATAACTGACGTAAAAAAATTTTATTACGCTCTTTACTGTAATGCTGCTTTCTTCTTCTCACTTGAGTTGCTTCCACTATCATAAGTTGACTAACATCAGAATCTCCAGAATCTAACTGTTCTACTTCATAACGAAATAATTTTGCAGGTGGATGGTATTGTTGTTCTTGTGGATTTCTATGTAATAAACTTACATAGATAAATTACAATAATATGAATACATTTTATACTTATAGATGATAAAGAGATCTCTACCTGTTGTTTTCTTTAGTATATTGTTTAATTTGTTGTTCTGTAGGTGCAATAACTTGAAGAACATGGCAATCACACCAAGAATCTTCTGTAAAACTTGCTTCTACCATTTCACCAACAAAATAACGATCTCTTGCAAATTGATATACATCCTCTATCATTTCTTTAAAAGATGATCTGTTTGTTTTACTGGCAAGATATAATATAGGAATACGTAACTATAATATAAAACATAATATCAATAAATCTAGAATTATAATATATATTTTTAAATCTATAACTCAAATTTAAATCATACCTCCATAGGAAATTCTTTAAGACTTCTTTTCGCATTTTCTTCACATTGTAAAGCTTCTTCATAGGTCATATTTGTTCTGCCAGTTATACTGCATGACCATATAAGTGAATTACATAAAATAATTCTTTCGCAAAATTCACTGCAATTATAAAACATTTTAAATGTAATTTAATAACAATTAATAATATTCTGATAAAATTAATAATATCTATTTATATTTTAAAGTTAAAAATTAAAAATAAAATATTTAAAAAATATAAATTCAAATATATAATAAATTGATAATGTAAAATTAAATAATTTATAATTTAATACAATCTTTCAAATGATTATCTAGTTTTTAAGCAATGATAATAAATGTAAATAATCTAAAGATTTTTTATAACGTATTTTTCAATTTTATCTATTTAGCACAAAGCAAAACTATATAAAAACAGAACGTTGATATATCAATATACATTATTTACGAGAATAGAAGTAAGTAAGCAAGATAAATTAAAAAAATACAAAGTAGTTATGATTAAAAAATCGCATTGACAAAATTGCAAAACATATTTCAAAATGATCTCAGCTGTCATGGTCTTACTTATAGTCCTTGAAAATTTCATTCGTAACCTCACAGTGAAAAACTTCATCATCGTCTTTAAAATCTGAAGAAACGTGAAGACGTTGAAATGGCTGTTTACGAAGTAGCGGCATATCAATCTATTAATATATCAATGCAGTTTTCGTTCACGTTTTTAACAAATTACAAATCAATTCTGCGTCAGTGCTATACTTTTCCGGAACCGCCAGGCACATGCACTTCTAACTTTCACAAAATCGCTTTAAGTTTCAAATGTTATCAAATTCCTGTTAAAATTTTTGTAGTTTATTTCCTTTGAAATTTTGTCTATTCATATGTGTTGAACGTAAAACTTTGATACCATTTCACGAAACATTTCGAATCTCATGACAAAGCATGATTTAACGGTGCTTGTAGAAGCGCGCATTCACATCTGGCACCTTAAAACCGGAAACTAATGAAAAGAATAGCGTTACCAATCTAAACTTATTATTCATTAGCGCGGGAAATAAAAATAAACATGTAATAATATTTAATATTTTAATATATTTGAAAAAATTCAATTCAATAAACCTTTTATTATTCCTTTTATTGTTGATACAATTTATTGTGATATTTTTCAAATGATGTAATTATTATAGAAAATATAAAAATATTTTACATTATGTTTTAAAGTTGGTAAAGAGTATCCGGTATAAATATTAAACTTATTAAATTTGGCGCGAATTACTTTTATCAAGTAATCAAATAATATAAATAAAAATAATTATATTTTATTTACATAATTGTGAATCAATTTAATTGAATTTAGTATTTTATTATCATAAAATAATAAAAAAAATCTGTTTAATTTATTTTTATATATGAAATACAATAAATTATACATAATGTTCATAGATATATACACATATATATAATTATATAATTTATATATTTATTCTTATTATAGTATCATATGCATGTATAACATATAATATAAATAATTATTTTAAATATTTTTTTTATGAAAAATTATTCTAACCATTCTGTAATATATTGGCATTTTGTAGGTGTAACATCACCAACATCACAGCAATTTTTCCTTACCTATTTTTAAATATTTTATTATTAATATATAAAAATATATCATCCAATAACAAAAAAAATAAATACATAAATAAAGTAGCTTACCGGACAAACACCACAAGTAGATTTAATTAATCCTGGTGGATTTAATAAAGGTTCTACTGCTCTATATAAAGTATTTCCATCACCTGAAAGAGTACGTTCTACTTTTCCATCATAAACTAAAGTATTTAATATCATTTCCAAATCTTCAACTGATAATTTTACCTATAAAAATTATTAATATATATTTTTAATATTCAAATATAATTTAAAAATATTCAAATATAATTTAAAAATTTTACAATAATCATTCAAACCTTGCTTATTCCTAAATCAGAAATAAATTTCCATACTTCTTTTGATGAAGCAAATGTAACATTTCTAGCCATTATTGGTCCTCCACCACAAGAATTCATTTGCTCTTTTTTTTTTCTAAAAATCTATAACATTGTTGATTAAGGACATCAACAAATTCTGCTTCAAAATCTTGATCTTGATACCAAGCACCACCAGTTACAGATGTGTCTGGTTCTAAATTATATAACATATATACTTTTTTCTTACTTGCAGCAACAGATTTAACAGCTTTGATAAATTTTTTAGTTTCTAAGCTTTTTAAAATTTTATTTAATTGAGTTGGCATTAAATTGGATTTAAATCTTATATCACGAATCCAAATGCCCTTATTGCCTGCTTCTTCAATAATAGTATATACAATCTTTTCTTCATTATCTGCACCTTTAGCTATTTTTGCCTTAGAAGGATCTTTCAAACGATATAATAATGAACCACCTTGTTTAAATAAATCAAAATGACCTTGAGATAAAAGTTTATTTATAATTTGAGCTCTTTGAGTAGGTTGTAAATCTGGCATTTCTATAGTTAAGTCTTTATCAGATATTCCTTTTGGTCTTGTTTGTGCTAATGCAATAATTCTGCAATTTAAAATATCATATTTATATATTTTAATATTTTTCATTTATAAGTTTCATTTATATTTTATACAATAATAAAATATAATATTTTTGTATTATATAATAATATAATTATATATAAATAATAACCATAACCTATTAAGTAAGTGTATAAAAAGTTTTTTAATAAGCAATTTTTAGAAAAAATTAAAACTTACTTTTGTTCAATTGATTCATATGAATTTATATCTGCGTTACTTGCTTCTTGTTCTTTTGATGTACTAGGTTCGTTTTCCATTTAATTTTTTTTTGTTATCCGTATGATTTACCTGACTATTTTTAATATTTGTTAGGTTATATTTTCATGTTTTCATTATTCATTCTATAATAATGACATTTATTATATCAATTTAAATATTATTTTAAAAACATGGAAAATGAATTGGATATCGAAGATTCTTTGAAAATTGCTTCTAAAGAATGGAATCGAATTATTAATACTGCTACAAAGGTATCATGCATATTTCATTATTATAAAATTTTTATTATAATGCACGAGATTTTTAAATATATTTTTTAAAGGATGGTTATAGAGAAGGAATAGAAGATGGATCAAATTCTGTTTTCCAAGAAAGTTTTAATAACGGATACAAAGAAGGTTTTCAAATAGCTTTCATTTTAGGAAAATTTAAAAGTTTATTAAACATTATTTCACGAGATGTTGAACATCCACAAAATATAAATGAAATTCTTGATAAAATTAAAAGGGGTATATGTTATATATGTGTAACAGAATTTCAGAATATAAATGATCAAAAAATTTTTTCCGAAATTATAAATGAACAGAGATCATATTCATTAAAAGTTCTTCAAACATTGTATCAATATTTTCAACCATATGTAAAGCAATTAAATATTAGTGAATCAGATATATTAAAAATCAAAAATTTTTCAGAACTAAAAAATAATTAATTTAACATATAAAGTTGTTTGTATTTTTTATTAGCATGTAAAGCATCAAGTTTGAATCATAAATAAAAAACATTAATTATAATATTTTTATAAATATAATCCTTCGGGAGATCCTTCCTTTTTCCGATACAAAACACTTTCTTTAGATTTTTTGAAATCATCGCTAGTAACTTTCATACGGCGTTCACGTAATGCCATTAAACCAGCTTCGGTACATATAGCCTGTAAAACAAAAAAAATATTTTTAATATATTAAAATTAAGAAATATTTAAATGTTATTTAATCAATTTTTTTTCATTCAAATATCATTTAAATAATATTTTACCTTTATATCTGCACCTGAAAGATCATCTTTAGCCATAATTAATTCTGCTAAATTTACATCAGGTGCTAAAGTCATTCTACTAGTATGAATGCTGAATATTCTCCGTTTTGTTTTTTCATCAGGCAATGGAAATTCTATTTTTCTATCAATTCGACCTGGTCTGATTAATGCTGGATCTAAAGTTTCAATTCTATTTGTAGCCATTACTACTTTAACATCTCCTCGACTATCAAAACCTAATAAAAGGAATATTTTTTATTATATATATATATATGGCAATTATACATATTATACAAATTATTATATTATATTATAATATAATATAGTATAATGCATATAGTATGATACATTATTAAGATTCAATTTAAAATATATTTCATACCATCAAGTTGATTGAGAAGTTCTAACATAGTTCTTTGAATTTCACGTTCACCTCCACTATTGCTATCATATCGTTTGGTGCCTACGGCATCTATTTCATCTATAAATACGATTGAAGGAGCATGTTCTTCTGCAACTCTAAATAGTTCTCTAACAAGTTTAGGACCATCTCCTAAATATTTTTGTATAAGTTCAGAACCAACGACTCTTAAAAAAGTTGCTGAAGTTTGATTAGCAACAGCTTTTGCCAATAATGTTTTTCCAGTTCCTGGAGGACCATAAAGTATCACTCCTTTTGGAGGTTTAATACCCATTTCTTCATAATATTCTGGATGTGTTAAAGGTAATTCTACAGATTCCTTAATTTCTTGAATTTGTGTGTCAAGTCCTAAATAATAAAATATTTTAAATATATAATTTACATTTGTGAATACATAATGTTATAAAAATTTTTAATGATAATAATAATGATAATTTAATGATAATATTCCATACCACCAATATCTGCATAAGTTTCTTGTGGAGCTTTCTCCAATTTCATTACTGTAACCATAGGATCTGTATCATCCCCTAAAACTCCAACAACAGCATGAACTTTATGATTTAACAAAACTGAACATCCAGGTTCTAATTGATCCTTATCCACAAATGATAAAATTGATACATAATGTTCAGAACCAACAGATGTAGATACTATTGCATGATTATCATCAATTATTTCCTCTAATGTCCCAACAGACATTGGAGTTCCACGTAAGTCATCAACTTTAGATCTTTCTTCCTCATTTTTTTCTTCTTGTGGCTTTAATCTTTCTTGATTTCTAATAAATTCCTCTTCCATTAATAAATAATCTTTTATACGTTCTAATTTTAAAAGTTTTAATCTGCAACGTGTATGTGGTGTAACTTGTGGTAACTTTAAAGCAGCATCTGGTCCTTTTGTACGTCTTTTCTTTTTACCCACTCTTGTTGGAATAGGTGGTTCATATTTCTTTTTTTTATCCTTATCATCCTTCTTGTCACCTCCTGTACCACCAGTACCAGATTGATTTTGTCCCTATTATAATTATTATATTTGAAGATAAATTCAATTTTTAATAGTTAACATTTTCAATATGTTTTTAAAAAGAAATTAAAAAGAAATTAAAAAATTGGAAGAAAATAGAAAAATTTATATATTATTGAAAAAAATAATTAGTCGTATGCGAAAGTTTAATTTTCAGTTTAGTTAGAATAAGCAAATTAATATAAAATAACCTATAATATCAAATAACAAAAGTATAATTGTTAAATATAAATATGAGTAATAGTTAATATATAATTACTTAAATCTTATTTTACATATTATTTAAAAATTATTAATTTATATATATAATTAGAGAAATCTTAGAAATTTACCATTTTACTTTTTGATCATATGAATCGAAACAGCGAAGTCATTTCCGTTATATAAATACAATCGATTACAATTTCGAGATCTTTGTAATATATCGAAATAATTCGATATATTAATTATTATTCGACATATTAATTCGATAAATATATTAATTAAAAGATTGTTAGCTAAAAAATGAAAATCAATAAAAACAAGTAATTTTTAATTTTAATTTGATAACAAGTTATATTATTGAAATTTTTGAAAGCAATATAATATAATAGAGTAATAATATTTAATAAGCTTATTTTTTTATTTAAGAATAATAGCTTACATATTTAACAATATTAATTGTTAAATGCAAAGTAAAATTAAATATTTATAAAAAAAATATAAATTTTTGTTTAATCCCATATGTACAAAAATAATATGAATGATGAAAAATTATATAAATGATTTTTTCTTGAAGAGAATTTTATATGACAAATAGTTTGTATGAATATTAATATCGACAACATATAGATTTGTGAAATTTTATTTTAATATTTAGATACATTTATTTTTGCAATAAAGTATCTTCTATCTTTTCAATTATCGCTTCTTTATAACGTCTCATTCAAAATCATTCAAAAATAATAACGATTAAAAATAGTAAAACAATTATTACATGTGCTTGTTTAAAAATATAATGATTTGTTTACAATTTTTACATCATATATAATTAAATAAGAATATAAAAAGTTTTTAAAGAATATAATGAAATTTTTAAATTTAATAATATTCAACCAATAATAAAAATAAATATCTATTATATATTGTATATATGTATGTTTTTAAGTAAAAATCTTCATATTATCAATAATTTGCTTTTTTTCTTCAAATTACTATGCAACACATTTTAAGTTTAAGTCACAAAAAGTTTAAAATATACATTTTTTTTTTTATACCAATGAAGATTTTTTTATATTATTCTTACTTAGATTTAAAAATCTTATAATTTCCGTATCATATGTTACAGAAAAATTAATTTATATTGTTGAATGTAATACGAGTGAGTTTAATAATACTTTGTTAATAAAACAAAGTTTGTAAAAGAGAAATACATCGTGTTATTTCGTTCGCGTATAATATTTTTCTCTTCTTACTTTCATTTATCACAATGATTAATAAGTATTTAAGAATATGTTGTTTTGATGAACACAATATAATACAACGTGTACGAAATGTTTTAGATATGATGAGAGGCGTGTTTGAAGCGATTCAATAAAAATATTTACGATGCTCAAAGTCCAGCTAATATAATTCTGGGATCTTCTACAGCAGCTTTGATCTTTCTTAAAAACATCACAGCCTCACGTCCATCAATTAATCGATGATCATATGTTAAAGCCACATACATCATTGGACGAATTACGATCTAAAAATTAATAAAATATTTTTAATAATTATTTATATTAAAAGAAATTTTCAATGCTTACCTCGCCCTTTATTGCAATGGGTCTATCAAATACTCCATGCATTCCAAGAATTGAGCTTTGTGGTGGATTAATAATAGGCGTTCCCATCAGAGAACCAAAAACACCGCCGTTACTTATTGTAAATGTACCACCATCCATATCTTCGACAGTTATTTTACCTTTTCTTGCTTTATCGCTTAAAGCTGCCAAAGCAATTTCAATTTCTGCAAAATTTTTATTTTCTACGCTACGAAGAACTGGGACAACAAGTCCTTTTGGTGTTGCAACTGCAACACTAATATCAACATAATCTCTATAAACTATTTCAGCGCCGTCTATTACAGCATTTACTACTGGTTGATCTTTTAAAGCATAGGCACTTGCTGCAATAAATGGACTCATAAATCCTAATTTCAAACCATATTTCTTTGTAAAATTTTCTTGATGTAATTTGCGGAATTCCATAATACGACTATAAAAGTTAAAAAAAGAAAAAAATAATTAATAATTGAAAAACGAAAAAAATACTAGCAATAATGGTTATAATAAATATTTAACAACCTCATATCAATTTCATTAAATGTTGTTAACATAGCATTCGTATTTTGAGCTTCTTTTAATCGTTCTGCAATACGCATTCGCATTCTATTCATTTTTACTCGTTGTTCTGTTCTGGTACCAGTTATTTCACGTGTATAATCATCAGGAGGTAATTGTACTTTTGCAGCTTCCAATGCCTAAAAATTTCCAATTACATTTATAAATAATTATATAATAAAAAAATAAAAATAATAAATAAATAAATTTTATTTATTATTAATTTTTTATAATTATATATACTTGAACAGGTTTAATTGTAGCAACTGGTATAGATACTGCAGGTCCTTGTGGAAGTGGCGGTCGAGCTGCTGGAGGTGGTACAATTGCAGGAGAAGGTGTTGATGGTAATGATGATGTGGGTAATGATGATAATGATGGTGATAATGGTGATGGTGGTGGTGGTGGTGGTGGTGGTGGTGGAGGTGGTGGTGGTGGTGGTGGTGGTGATGGTGATGGTGGTGGTGCTGCTGTTATGCTAGGTGGAGGACTTGGAACTTTTTCAACAACTTTAGGTGCTCCCGGTGTTCCATCAGTAGCACCAATGTCAATAACACATAGCTTCTGCCCTGACTTTACTGTTTGACCATCTTTGGCAAAAATCTCTTTTATTATACCAGAACCTGGTGCTGGTACAGGAACTGAAGTCTATTAAGAAAATAGATCATTATAAATCAATTATATAATATATATTATTTCCTTTTATTTCCTTTTTATTTTATTTATTTATTTTTTTTTTTACTTGTACCTTATCTGTTTCAATTTCACATAAAACATCATCTTCTTTAACCAGATCACCAATTTTTTTATCCCACCTAACATCTCCTTCACTTACACTTTCTGCAAATGGTGGTACTACAACTTCCTTCATTTCCCCTATATGATCAAATATATACAAATTTTATGAGATCAATTTTGAAATTATCTATATTTTTTTTTTTGTTCAAAGTTTACTTACATAAAGTAGATGTTGAATGAATATATCTTGTTTGGTCTATCCAACAATGAAATTTCTTATATTTTGTACATCTAGAGATGTGCAAATTAAGATTTTTTGAAAAATAGTTTTTCAATTAAAAAAATTTATAATAATTTATTAAATATATTAAAAAATATATATTTAAAAATATTTAATTTTTGAAAAATATTTTTTAACTTACAATCGGGAGTTCTTGCTGACCACATGTTGGGTGTGGATAAATAGAATGTGCCCTACAAAAATGATTTGATACAATTAATAGTTTATGTTCATGGTTATCCCCAACGTTGATATGCCTCTCTATAAAGATAATGTTTAGATTTTCAACATAGCTCACCACTTCTTTACTATATCATCATTTTTATTTCTTACCTTGACTATATAAAGATCTGACAACCTAAAAAAGAATATATAATATTAATACATATATTTTATTTTTAAATGCAAAAATAATAAGTAAAATACTATATAAAATTATATTACATATACTACAGTTTAATTTATAATATTTATATATAATATACATTATAAAAATTTTATATGTATTACAATGAAAATACATAAAAAAAACTATAAAAAATAGGTATTGGAATAATTGAACAGAAAAAAAATAAATAGAATAAATACGAAAAAAATTTTGATTTTCAATTACAGTTTGAAACTGATGAAAATTAACTTGGTTATCTAAAAAAAAGATTTATGTCAAACAATAATGAAAATTTTATAATTTTTCATTGACAGATTATAGTTGATAGATTAAGTCAAATCGTAACATGTTAAGATAGTATTATATAATCGATGCAATAAGTAAGGATAATATTTCGATAGCTTTGATGGCAAGTTCTATTTCTAAGGACGTTAGATTCTTTTTACCCAATATGTGTCATAAATATTTCAATGTTAATAATAAATGGAACATAGTTACCTTCGTTTGTGATATACTAATTCTTGTTATTACACGAGGCACAAACCGCGAACAGTTGGACAACATCGCGGCCATCCTCGAATATGGAAAATTATAACTTAGATGTTCGTTCTTTACTCTTGCAATGATAAGGAAGCAATACGGTATAGTACAATTAGTAGTGGGGCAAGTTTGCTATGATAAATGTGCGTTCTGAAATTTGGCACTATTGAATTCCAAAAAATATAAAACTTATCAAAATGTAAAATTATGAAATAATTATGATATTTTAAATAATTATTATAATTAATATAAAATTTAAACTATTTAAAATAGTAATAAATTTAATATTGTAAAAATATGGTTTTTTTTATTAGAAACTAGTATCTTTTTATCAATGAATATATACATTATTTTTTTTTTACACAAAAATTTGAGCATTATCTAATAAGAAGTAAAAAAGAGTAATCATATAATAATACAAATATTTCCTTTATATTATAATTGAATGAATTAAATATATTTATAATATAAAATTATATATAATTTATATATGTAATATTATAAAAATATTAATTATGCATGTTATATAAAAAATTAAGAAAGAATTATTGCAATTAAGAATAGACATAATATACAATGAAAATAATATGAAGAAATTTATTGATAAATATTATTGAAATATTAAAAATACTTATATCTGATTCACAATTATCATTTAAATTTCATTAATTTATGTTATTTATTTTATATTTTATTATTATTATTATATTTTTTATTAATTTTTTAAATTGTAAAATATAATGATTAAAAATGATATCACTTATAACTTGTTATATTAAAAATATATACAATTAATCTAACATGTTAGTAAGTTCGTGACTGAATTTAGGTTTTTAAACATGAACAGTGAAGATGTAATTAAAAGAAAGAAATACGGAGCTGGTTATATTGGAATATATTTGTTATAAACACGATATGCGATAATATCTGAACATTGATTATCACGTGGAAAAATTCAAATTTTTCAGAAATATTTTAATTTATTGCAATCATTTGACAGCGAAATATATACTTTAATTAAGATTGGCGAAATTGATTGTGCAACATGGCGATTATATTTGAATAATAAGCGCATGTCGATTTGTTATTATTTTATTAATGTTGCAAATATTTATATATATTTTTTGCAATAATTTAGAAATAATGCGTGTATATCAATTGTGATATATATTATATCTAATATTCGTAAAAATTTAGTATTGATTAACAAGATTAAGAAGAAAAGAAATATAAAGAAACGAAAAAAATTTTTTGTATATTTCATATATAATTTCGAATTATTATTTATATTAGATTATAATCTTTCAAAGATTTGTGATAATGAAATATTAGAATGCATATTATTTCTTATATACAAATTTTTCTAAAATTCTTTATAAAAAAAATTCTAATTAAATAAATTATGCAACATGTAAAAATTTGTATGATAATTCCAGTGCATTTTAGAAATCATATGACTGTTAAAAAAATTGTAGGCTCAAATGCACTGTGATAATTAAAGTATCATAATTAACAGTGTGATGAATAGCAGTGGATATCGTGGAAGAAACTTTGGACCACGGGGAGCTCGTATAAATGGTCCAACCAATGTTTTTAATGGACCCAGATTTCCGCATCCAAGTTTTAATCATCCAAGACCACCACATAGATTATCTGGTCCTGATAAATGGATAGAACGTGCAAATTTTGTACCTTGGCAACAGAATAAAAATTTTCTTCCTCATCCACAATATAGGGGTAATTTACAATTTCGACCAAATAATAGAGGTAGAACAACAAGTCATGGAATACTAAGATTTTCTGGTCCTGGTAGACCATCAACTGCGCAATTTTGTATGGGTTTTATAAGAAATCCTATACATAGACCACCATTACTTCAAGAAGAACAAGATGAAGATAAGCCTATATTAATATCACAGACTCCTTTACTTGGTTCTGAAGAAGAACGTCAACAAAAGATTTTAGAAACTGCTGACAAATTAAAACAAAAATTATCTTCTATAACAGAAGAAGAACTTAAAAATTTTTGGGAAGATGATTTATCTGTTTTGCCAAATAATAGCTCTGAGGAAGAAAATATACGAAATAAAGGTATTCCTGAACTTAGCCATGAACCACCTGAACTTGATTTAACATTTACTGATTTTAGAGATATAGGTAGAGTTGATTGCATTAATTCAAAATTTGAAAATGTAGATAATAAATCTAATAATGAGATTTCAATTAGTTTTGAGCAAAAGTCTACAGATAATGTTATAAGTACAAACGATAAAATTACTATTATAAATGAAAATAATAAAGGAAAATCTTTAATTATTTTGGATTCAATATATGATAAAGATAACTTATTGAAAAGTGATAAATGTTATGAACAGATACATCATGATTTAACTAATTTTGAATGCAATGAAAAAAATTTACATTTTCAAAATAATAATTTTGTAGAAAGTTTAATAAGTTCAACTTCGAATAATATGAATGAAAAATCGTCAAATTTAAATGAAAATATAACAAATTTACTATCAATAGAATCAGTAAATGATTCATTACCAAAAAAATCTCCAAATATAAATGATATAGAATCAACTACAAATGATGATAATGGATTAAAAATAGATTTTTCACAAAATCAAAATATTGTGCAAGTAGATACACAGAGAATAAATGAAAATATCACACAAGACATTAACATAAATATACAACATAATGATGATTATATAGAAACAAAATTACTTGAAAATAATCAAATTCAAAATAATTTGCAAACAAATATATCTCAAGAGATAAGTCATAAAAATTTAGAAACTATTTATGATTATTCTCAAAATAGATTATCTAATTTTTCATCTTCTAATGAAGAAATTTATTCAAATATTACCTGTGATTCTACATCTGCAACATATTCAAATTATAATGATTCATCTATTTTTCAATCAAGAATTTTCAATATACCATTTAGATTCACTCCAAGAATTGGTGGGTCTAAATGTCATTGGACTTTTCAACAAAATAGAAAAAATTATTTTTTAGGGAATCGCAAAGATTATCTTTTCATGATAATCAAATATCTTCACCAAGACATGTTGCATCATTTAAGTCAAATGATTTAATTCCAATTGAATTTGATCCAAGAGCACCACCACCATTTATGCATAATATACCTGTTTCAAGCCATGAATTTCAAAAGACTGCAATAGTGTCATTTTCTTCTAATGATTTGCCCCCTACTTTTAATCCAAATGCACCTCCTCCAAATATAAGATCAAAATCAAGTATTGAATTATCACAAGAATGGCTACAGCCTGTATCCTCTCTCGATTTAAGAGGCCAAGCAATAAATAATACTCAAAGTAATTTAAAAATTATACAATCATCTTCTGCTTTTGATCCTAGGGGACCACTTCCTAGAATTTCAAATATTCCAATAACAATTAATAAAACAGTATCTGAATTCAATCCTCAACAGCCACCACCTAAAATTCACAAAAGAGAGGAAACTCTTCAACCTCCACCAATTTTTGATCCACGACTTTCTTCTCAAGAACGTTCTAAATTAATTGCTCCCTTGGATATTTCTGGATCAAATATGGTACCACTCAATTTAATTGAAACATCGCCAGTATCAGATTTTAAAATCAGTTCTGTTACATCAAATTTTTCACAACCACCTCCTATAAATATATCGTCTCATCAAACATTTATTTCTAATATGCAAATGAATTTTCAATCTGTTATATCACAAACAGGTAATGGACAGGAAATAATAAGAGAATTCTCATTACCTCTGCCACCTATAAGTATCACTGAATTTCCTTCATTACCACCTCTACCAAAAGAATCTTTGGTAGAAAAAAATTTTAATTCCAACCAAAATATAAGTATGGATGATGGATTAGAAGATATGCAAGAAGCAATGGAATTTGCAAAACGAATAATGAATTTGAGTGAAGAAATAAAAAATAATGATACACCTTCAACATTTTCTGAATTATCATTGACACCATCAAAAATTCCAATACCAAATGAAACTTCATCATATCATTCTTTATCAATAGAAGAGATAAATACAAATACTACAAAAAAACAGAAAAAAAAGGAAAATAAAAATAAAAAATGTAGGCAAAATGTAATTTATGGACCAGAATTGATTTTTGAAAAACAAGGACATATTACAACAATAGACGAAAAACAAAATTTACAAAATCAAAATAAAAAAACTGAAGATATATTACTATCAAATGATAAAATAAGACCTAAAGTAATATTCAATTTAAATTCCAAAACAAAAAGAATATATAAACCAGAAGACTGGCATAAAATTTCTATAAATATTTCTGATAATAAAGAAATCTCTCAACAGGAAACCACTCAAAATTTTAATAAAGAAAAAGGTATATATAATTCTAGAAAACATTATGAAATTAGAAGTAATCAAAATAAAAATGAACAAAAAGAAATTAAGATTAAAAAAAATTCAGTACATTCTGCATCACTTACAAATATCTCTACACATGAAAAATCAGATGATATATCTTATCGTTATAAAAATTATACCAAAGATATAAAAAAATTAAAAGCACATTCCTCCAACATGATAACATTTAATAATATAACTACCCAAAAAAATCAAATGATCAATCCAAAAAAAGAATCTAAAAAACAAAATGTTCCTACCTCAGAATCTTTATGGAAAGATAGAGTAATCAATCGTTTTTTGAAAATGAGTAAAAACGATATTTGCAATATGGTGAATAATTCAAGTCTTCGTAAGTTTGATATTGTAATGAGACATCTGGTAAAGGAAGAAGATCTTCTCTTTCTTTAGAACTGAGAAACACTGAAGATGAGAAAATGAAAGAATATGATAGAGAAGAATTTATGAATCAGTTAAATGCAATGTTAGATCCAAGTACTGTTGTAGGCATCACAGACTTACCTACAGAATTTATTCATCATCTGAGCGAAGTTTTACAACTTGATCCTATGCCATTTGATATTGAAAGTCAAAATGTAGACAATGATGAAATTGAAATTATAAATCAAAATGAAAATTTGAAAATAAATACATGTGAGTATGCAAATGAAGGAAATTTAAAAATTCAATCTT